TCTCCCCCAAGCCGGGCCACGCCGACAGCCTCCTCCCCCACCTCAACCTGCTCCGCAAGCGGCACCTCTTCACCGACGTGGTGCTGCGGGCGGGGAACCAGGCCTTCCACTGCCACCGGGCCGTCCTGGCCTCCTGCAGCCGCTACTTCGACGCTATGTTCAGCGGGGGCCTGAAAGAGAGCAGAGACGCCGAAGTCAACTTCCACGACTCCCTCCACCCCGAGGTGCTGGAGCTGCTGCTGGACTACGCCTACTCGGCCCGGGTGCTGATTAACGAGGAGAACGCGGAGTCCTTGCTGGAGGCTGGGGACATGTTGCAGTTTCAGGATATTCGGGACGCTTCGGCCGACTTTCTGGAGAAGAATCTCTACCCTGGGAATTGCTTGAACATGCTGCTGCTGTCCGATGCCCACTGCTGCGAGCGGCTGCTGGAGCTGTCCTGGAGGATGGCGCTGGCCAACTTCACCTCGCTCTGCAAGACCGAAGACTTCCTCCGACTGCCCAAAGACAAGCTGCTGGAGCTGGTGGAGAGTGAAGAGCTGGAGGTAGAGGATGAGACGCTGGTCTACGAAGCTGTTATAGGTTGGATCCGGTACGATTTGCCCCGACGCCATGAAGTTCTGCCGGAGCTGCTGCGCTCCGTCCGCCTGGCCCTCCTGCCCGAGTCCTACCTGCGGAAGCAAGTGGCCTGCGAGAAGCGGGTGCCCAGCCACAAGCTGGGGGAGGAGATCGTGGCCGACGCCGTACGATGCAAAATGAAAATCCTGCAAAACGACGGCCTTGTGACAGGGTGCTGTGCCCGACCCCGCAAGGTCAGCCAGGCCCTGCTGCTGCTCGGTGGCCAGACCTTCATGTGCGACAAGATTTATATGCTGGATCATAAAACCAGCGAGATCATTCCTCGTGCCGACATCCCAAGCCCTCGTAAAGAGTGCAGTGCCTGCGCCATCGGGTGCAAAGTGTACATCACCGGCGGCAAAGGCTCCGAGAACGGCGCTTCCAAAGACGTCTGGGTTTACGACACCCTCCACGACGAGTGGGCAAAAGCTGCCCCCATGCTGGTGGCGCGGTTTGGCCACGGCTCCGCCGAGCTGGACCACTGTCTGTACGTGGTGGGGGGTCACACAGCGGTGAGCGGTGCCTTCCCGGCCTCTCCCTCCGTCTCTCTCAAGCAAGTCGAACACTACGACCCGCAGCTGGACAAATGGTCCTTGGTGGCCCCTCTCCGAGAAGGCGTAAGCAACGCCGCCGTGGTGGGAGCCAAGATGAAGCTGTTTGTTTTCGGCGGCCCCAGCGCCAACCAGGAGAAGCTGCCCAAGGTGCAGTGCTTCGACCCCTGCCAGAACCGCTGGACGGTGCCCGCCAGCTGCCCCCAGCCCTGGCGGTACACGGCCGCCGCCGTGGGGGGCAGCCACATAATTGTCATCTGGGCAGCCACATCATTGTCATCGGGGGGGACACGGAGTTCTCCGCCAGCTCCGCTTACCGCTTCCACAGTGACACCTACCAGTGGTCCAAATTCGGGGACGTCACCGCGAAGCGCATCAGCTGCCGTGCTGTTACGTCGGGTAACAGACTGTACGTGGTGGGGGGCTACTGCGGGGCTCAGCGCTGCAAAACGCTGGACTGTTACGACCCATCGTCCGACACCTGGAGCAGCGTCACGACAGTGCCTTATTCCCTCATCCCCACCGCCTTCGTCAGCACCTGGAAGTACCTGTCTGCCTGAGTCACCGTGTGGCGAAGAACCTGGGAGGTAACTAGCTGTGGATCAACCCAGAGCTCCTCTATATAACTTTGCGCTGCACAAGGGTTAAACCCCGAGGGGCAGATGCACGTGGATCTGGACTGGAGCTGTCCTAGAGAACAGCCTCGTGCGAGCATCAGCTCCAGAAACGTGCTTCCAGGCTGGTAGTTTGGGATCTAAAACCCTGCAGGAGAGAGAACGTCTCTTTAGGTGCTGAAATGCTGAGGGGAGAAGATTAGTATAAATAACAAGACGCTTAACCTGGCATCCTAGCCCTTCCACTGAGTCTTGGCCTATGCAAAGATTTTGGGGAATGCTTTCTGTGAGGAGGATTGGGTGTCGTCCCTGGTACAGAAAGCTGGTCGAGTCGATCATTAAGTTAACAGGCAGCCTGTCTGCAGGAGCTGGGATAGACCGCGCGGTGCCATGGGGGACTTGCTGCTGCTTTTAGCGCCTCCTCCTCCTCCTGGTGCCACGGTTAATCTGCTAGTGGCACCCAACTGTCTTGTGGGACGTGAGGGCTGGTGCCAGAACAAGATTATAGCTGGGATTTAGTCCCAGAATGGTTGGTAATTGCATTTGTAAGACAAGCCCTGTCTGCATATAAAACACAGGGTTCCTCCGCTTCTAATTATTCTCTGGTGTCCTTTTCATGCCATTTCTTTCCTGCTACACAGCGATTAACTTTTTAAAAATTTGCAACCGGAATGAAACCTTTCTAAAGGCTCTTGGCAGAAAAGATGCCAGTGAATCACAGATCCCCGCAGGTTTTTTTTCTTTTCCCCTTGCAAGAGAGGTACTACCCAAATGAACTTGCAATAAAATATCCTGCGATACCTATGGAAGATTCCTGGATGTAGGGGGAAATAAGGAGCTGTCACTCCACGATAGC